CTTCCTTTCAGCTTTAGAATGAATTAGGAAAAGTTTAATCCACTTGCACTGTTTTATGTTTACATGTTTGATGACAAACAGCCTTATGTTTATAAGTGACAGTTTTCCTGCTAAGTACCTGCATGTCATAAGCATTTGAATTAAAATTACCATATTGAAATCAAATCTGATGTTTTTTAATTTTTATTTGGTGTGCGTTAGAACAGGGGTAGTCTTATACGGTGAGTATAGCCCAAACTCTATATTTTAACTGGAAAAGTTGGGGGTCGTCTTATACGCCCAGTCGTCTTATACGCCGGAATATACGGTATATAAAACTGGTGTATAATAGTATAAATTGGTGTATTAACACTTCATGTGAATAAAGATCATTTGAAGTGTTAATATCATTTTATAATACCTTAATAAGACCGCACTTGGAATATTGCATCCAATTTTGGTTGCCACGATATAAAAAAGATGTTGAGATTCCAGAAAGAGCGCAGAGAAGAGCAATCAAGATGATTAGGGGACTGGAGGCTAAAACATATGAAGATTGGTTGCAGGGATTGGGTATGTCTAATTTAATGAAAAGAAGGACTAGGGGTGACATGATAGCACTGTTCCAATATTTGAGGGGCTGCAACAAAGAAGAGGGGGTCAATCTATTCTCCAAACTACCTGAAGGCCAGACAAGAATCAATAAATGGAAACTAATCAAGGAGAGTAGCAACTTAGAACTAAGAGAAATTTCCTGACAGAACAATTAATCAATAGAACAAGTTGCCTTCACAGGAGATTTTTAACAGGAGATTGGACTACCATTTGTCTGAAAAGGAATAGCGTTTCCTTCTTGAGCAGGGGAGTTGGACCAGAAGACATCCAATATCCCTTCCAACTCTGTTACTGTATTCTGTTATCACAAAGCCTTGAAAAGATGGTTTAATAGGCTTTATCAGTAGTGAGCAAAAATTAGGTAACTAGCGAAGGCATCATATGTTACCTCAACTTCATATAGCGAAATATAGGAATTGTAGTGCCAGTGCATATATAGTTATATTACCTCACTTACTTCCGTACGTTTCTGCTACTACTGATCAGTACTTGGTGCATTAAAGGAGATAAAACATACACGTTGAAAACTGTGTTGTAAATATTGCAGTATCAAATGATACTTTTTTAGGTGTTCTATAAATTAATTTTGTTTCAAAATTATTTAAGTCCGAGAAGGATTTTAAATTGCTTCTGCTGTACTTTCTTAAAACTTTATCTCTTTAAGCACATTTCTTTTGTTAAAAAAATCCAAGGTGAGACCAGTTAGTATTCCAGATATGATAATATATTCATCTTCACCAACTTTGAGAACAGAGGTGAGCCAATACCAGTTCTGTAGACCTTTCGTTGGCATAGGGGAGCTGCAGTGCTGGCTATTGTCTGTTATGTTACAGACACAAGCCTATGTAACTTCTTCTCTTCCAGTGTTATGATTTTCATCATAAGAATGACTTGAAGATGCAGCCAGGACAAACAGTACCTTTTGGAGACCATGGTAAAACAAATAGTTTTTAAAGTTCTTCACAATTTTTGGGCCTGTTTGTTCTCAGGCTTTAGAGATTTACTGTTATCTTCACAACAACGTGTGAGGTAAGATAGGTTGGGAGATAAAGATTAGCTCAGGAGGAAGTATTTACATTTTTAGTAACTGGGATAGTTTTGGAGGAAGCCAAACATGGATAAAATAAATGGATTTTTCTGGAGTTAAACTAGACTTGACTTTGTTGTTGGCAGTTGTCAAAAAGTCTAGCACAATCCCTCTTCATTTCTGAAGGCAAGTTTTTGAATGTTGTGTAAGTAAATTTAAAGAAATTTGAAAAGAGAAATTAGAAGCATCATATCTAAATCACACTGCCTGAGATCACTGTTCTCAAAGTGTCCTTGTTTTCTGAATTTTGGCATTTCATTGGTTTTCACCTAGCAAAGTGTTAAGAATATCTAAATTACTTTTGGGGAAAATGTGCCAGGTATCTTTGGTTTTTTTGGAAGAACCAAAGATCAATACTGAAAAACTGTACAACAATATGAGTGTGATTCAGAAAAAAAATGTTCTGCTAGGTAAAATGAAAAATGGGTGGGAAGAAAACAAGAAAAAGTAAAACTGGGCAGATCGTTGGCTAGAAAAGCTGATGAATGAGATGATCTTTTTGAGACAAAATGACTGACCCAGAGTCATCAGCTGGCTTCATGCCCAAGGCAGGGCTAGAAGTCACCATCTCCTGGTTTCTAGCTTGATACCTTAACCATTACTCCAAACTGAGGCTCAGAAACAAGGCGCTGCGCCATGCAAGAACGGGGCAGGGTTAATGAGTATCACGCGGGTACTAGCCCCGCCCTATTTGCAGCATATAAAATGCTTCCCTCTCCCTTTTCCTCCGGTCCACCAATCGACAAAGGTTGGAGACCTCTGTTGTACAGAGTACAGTATTAGCATGCAATAAACCTGTATTTGTTTGAAACGCTCTAGCCTAGCTCCTGATTTCTTACACTTGACAATTTCCTTATTCTGATACCATCCAAGTCCAAAAAAGGGGATAGCAATAGCTTTATAGCACTTTCTGAGTGGTTTACAGAGTCAGCATATTTCCCCCAACAATCTAGGTCTTCATTTTATCGACCTTGGAAGGATGGAAGGCTGAGTCATCCTTGAGTCGGTCAGGACTGAACACTTGACAAGTCAATCTGCAATACTGCAATACTGCATTTTAACCACTGGGCTCAGTGACAAGCAAGAAGATGGGTGGACACAATTATACTTGTGATGGGTGTACAGTGGGAAAACATGAAGGGGCAGTTTGGGGGGAAAATTGTTCTGGAGAATATCTATTTTTGTGGTTGCTAAGAATAGATGCCAATGTAATGGAACATAACTGTTATGAGCATTTCAGCTGATGAAAGGAGTCATGTGCCCCTATTAGTTTTATTTTGATAGTGTTGGGTAAGATAGAGTACTTCTTGGATATGCATTGTGAAGATCTTGCCTATAAATGCCTGGCCTTATTAAAATTTTGATCACAGACCTGAGGTTTCACAGAACCATAGTGGACGCTAATACCAAAATTCTATGGAATTTTTAAAGTTTGGTCCCATTCACTTCATGGTGATTTTCTCCCATTTGTCACTAAATGGGGATAAATTATCATGAACTGAGTGGACTTTAGAACCGAGGAAATAATTATTGTCCTAGCAGAGCATTTAAATGAATACAAATTACTTGTACCATTGGGTACAGAAGATAACATAACACATCTACCTATGTAGATGTTTATATATTATTGTACACATTATAATTTAATGTATTTAATAAAGTTAACACTTGAAATATGTATCTCTGTATGGACCAATGCTATTATTGGAAAGTGATTTGCCCTGAGTTGTACATTTTTTTTATATATTTTATTGAAATCAAAAAGGAACTTCAAATGTGAAATCACTCAGCATTTAAACTTGTGCAGAACATATGATAAGCTTCTTATAAAATGTTAATTAAACCTGATAAAAGAGAAAATGTTAGCCAGTTTTTACTTTTATTTGTTTTAGAACGACAGATGAGTTCATCGATGGCTGCATCAAATGCCCTTACTTCCACCACCAGTAAAGAACTTGTAGACCTGCAACATCTCATTCAATTTCCAGAGGAAGTTGCTAGTATCCTGATGGAGCAGGAGGAGGATCTTTACAGAAAAGTGTTGCCCATTGACTATCTCTGCTTCTTAACCAGAGATTTGGGAAATGCTGAATGTCGGAACAAACTTTCATCCATTAAAGCAACTTTTCTCTCTGTCCCAGATGGGGAGCAGAGTGCTCTTGAAAATTTGGTGACACGATTCAATGAGGTAGGTGGAGGGATTTTGATTATCTTCTGTGTGTTGCTTTTCGTTGTACATTTTTAAGGACAGATTGGAAGGGTCTCAGGTGAAGAGAGCACTACTGGGGCCTTTTCCCTTTTGATGAACTTTCAGACTGACTTTATAGGAGCACACATTTGTGAAGCAGTGAAGTAGCTAGATGTAGCTGCCACTTTAATTCCTCACAGTGCCTCTGCTACAGCCATTGCATTAGGGCATGGGTGTCAAACTCGCCATGTCATGTCACGTGTTGCGACGTATCGTGACTTTTTTTGCATTGCCGGAGCTGGGGTGGGTGCAGCTTCCGCATGATGCAACCGGCCCGTGGGCCGGCAGTTTGATATCCCTGCATTAGGGCATTATGGGAAACTATGTTGGAGCCACTGATGAACTGTGGTAGAATGTAGCCTGGATTCCCAGGAAGGAGGGCTGTATTCCAGAGAAGCAAGAGACAGGAAAGTTTAGCTAGTTTGGAATGAACAAAGTCAAGACACCTCTTCCTTAGAAGTTCTCAGAGTATATCTTTAGTGATGCAATAGTTTAGCAATAGCTATAGCACTTAGACTTATATACTGCTTCATAGTGCTTTACAGTCCTCTCTAAGTGGTTTACAGAGTCAGCATGTTGCCCCCGACAATCTGCGTCCTCATTTTACTGTCCTTGGAAGGATGGAAGGCTGAGTCAACCTTAAGTTGGTCAGGATCGAACTCCTGGCAGTGACCTGAATTAGCCTGCAATACTGCATTCTAACCACTGTACCACCATGGCTTATAGTGGTAGCATAAAGCATAGTTTGCTTTAGTTTGGCAAGATTTCTGTCTATAGGTGAGGAACAATAAAAAAACCTACTTTGAAGTAATATAGCATGTCTTTCTTGGGTTTTGGAGCCTGGCATAAATTGTATATTGCGTATTGGGCTGAATATTTTTTAGAGAACAAAGGACAGATTTTAACAGTGGGCTTTCTATTTCACTGGACCATGGTAGTTGCCTGAGGAACTGTATAATTGCCAATCCTGGTCTTTTGACAAATAGATTGATTGTAACAATGGGTTGGATTGTTGCAGAGAGCTTATAATTTAATTGCTGGACCATTTTGTTACAGAGTAAATATAATTTTCCTAATTATATGAAAGAAATATGAAACAAGCATTTCTAAACTCTTAACAGATTCTACGTATTTTTTCATAATCCACAATCTAAAACCCTTTGGATATGCTATGATTGTTCTTAAGGAAATGATGTTGTTTTTTTTCTTTTGAAGCAAACCTTAAACTTATTTTCTTTTTAATTTATTTGAATATGACTGAAATCCAAAAGTGCAATTAGAACAGTGTAATATATACTGCTGTGCAGTTTTCCTGAGCTGACTCTGGATGTCCTTATAGTGTAATAGTGACAGCAGAAATGAGAGCCATCTTAGTCCACATGTCAGTCATATGATAGATACATGATTCAAGGCACGATGGAACTGGAAGTATTGATCAAAAAGGACATGGCTAAATGTATATTTGGGTCTATTATAATCAACAGAATCATATCTGTTAGAATTATTGGCTATCTAGTGTATCAGTTTTATATATGGCAGTATAGTGCTTAAGATTTGTTTTGTATTTAAACCTACAAAATCGTCATCATACAGTACATCAGAAAGATCCTGATCAAAATATGAGTACATGAAAAGATATAACAAGAAAAGGAAAATAAGAAATACCTATAACAAGATCAGAGAATTAGTGGCTGGCCCAAAATTCTCTTCAAAATACCCATATATTCTTATGCAGATATTATTGCATCTGAAAAAAAAAGATTCCAGGGGCAAGAGTCATACTTTGACTGCCTAAAAAAAATGTAACTGCTTTCTGGCATTGCTTGTAAAAATAATTCACTATATTTATATTGTGGGAGCCAGAATGAATTTTTAGATGACAGACTCTTGATACTTAATGGAAGAAAACTATTTCATACCTTAGTCTCCCCTCCCCCAATTATTTTTTGCAAATTCTCTACTATGTAACAGTTTGTCTTATATGTTTTAGCGCTTTATTTACTTAATAGTTTTTATTCTCTGAGAAAAGAACTTTTGGCTTTATGTGGTTACCCATTCCTCTTACAAGTTAGCCCTTTGTGTTTGTGTAATTTAACTTTATTATCAAATCAATGTGTAAAGGCCTTAAAGTCCTAGTATGGTTGACCATGAAATATAAAAGAGAAACATTGCAAGACAGTTTTATGTGTTAAATGAAACTGGATTGTTGTAAAAACCTTTGCTTAGATTAAAAAGGAATAGTCAATATTTTCAGACCCTTTTAGAAAGAAATAATATCTAAGAATATGTAGAAGGCATTTTTACAGTAATCTAATTTTATATACCTGTGTTTTGAGTATCAATAGATTTTTAAAGCCATAAATGGCCATTGATCACAAGGTGAAAAGTGATAACCTTTTAGAGTTACTTAATCACTTAAAGATCACTGTTATTTAAACACTATAGTTAGTATTTTAGATACATTCACAATCTATCTGTCAAATTTCTAAGTTTACACCAGGTATTACTCATTTTGTAGTAAATTAACTTGTTCTTGGATCCTTTTACTTTTTAAAAAGTAATTTCCAATGTTTTTCCACTCTCATATAACATTATGTCTTCCTATTTATATGTCTATTGCAATCCTATAGAGGTAAATGACTGTGATGTAATAAATGTGTATGTAAGACAGCTTAACTGTCTTACAGTCCAAAAAGAGATGGCTTAAAAATATAAATTTGCTTCAGCAGTGGAATGTAAATAAATATTTCATTCCCCAGTTCAGAACTTTTGAAAACTTAAATGAGCTTGCAAAAACCTTTAGAAAATATTATGTTTGTATAAATAGCCAAATGTTTCCAGTCCTTGTTTGGAACACTATGTTTGAATTAGTATATAATCGGATTAAACTGGTGAAGGTACTTTATTGGTCTATTTTATTCCTTTCAAGCAGACCAGTTAATTCATCATATTTTATTAAAGAAGAAGAAAGCAGAGTGGGTTTTGTTTGTTTATTTGTTTATGTGTTTTTTTGCTGCCTGGTACCACCTCCAGACACAAAGCCAAAAACATTTCTAGGTCTGTCTTTCTATAATTTTAGCTGGAAAATGTAGTAGGATAAAGCTGCTTAATCTAGTGGCTCTTATCTTTTCATATTTTAAGTCCCTCTGGCCATACTAGCAATGAACTTTGATCCAGTCACAATAGAAACAAAACTTCTACATATATGTATTTATAACCTTACTGTGATTAATTTTTTTGAATTACAGTAAATTTTAAGGATATAAAATTCTACTAATAATGTTGACCATAGCTAAAACTGTAAAGTATTCCGTTAGAGCTAACTGGGGATGAAATAATGGTGCTCGCTGGGACAGTCTTCCTTTGAATCCAAATCAAATAGTACTTTCAAATAATGAAGATAACCAGTGCAAAGTGAGATTTTATTCTGACGTCTAAGGCCAAATAATTCAGATTCCTGGACTCTAGGAAATATCTGTATCTACAGGGGCTGCCACAAAGAAGAGGGAGTCAAGCTCTTTTCCAAGGTGCCTGAAGGCAGGACAAGAAGCAACGGATGGAAACTAATCAAGGAGAGAAGCAACCTAGAACTAAGGAGAAACTTCCTGACAGTTAGAACAATTAACCAGTGGAACAACCTGCCTCCAGAAGTGGTGAATGCTCCAACACTGGAAGTTTTTCAGAAGAGACTGGACAGCCATTTGTCTGAAATGGTATAGGGTTTCCTGTCTGAGCAGGGGGTTGGACTAGATGACCTCCAAGGTCCCTTCCAACTTTATTACTATTATTATTATTACCCGAGATAAGTATAATATCTTATTTCAGGTCAAAATCTATGGACATGGATACTTGTCTACATATAGTCCTCAACTTACAATCATAATGATGATTGTTAAGGGGGTCATCATTGACTGATGCAATTTTATGACTTTTTACAGTGGTTGTTATGTGAATCACCATGGCCATTAAGTGAAAATGCAGGCATTAAGTGTACCCTGTGGTCATTAAGCTTTTGTGAAAAACCAGAAGTTAATGCCGGTTCTGGCACGTGATCACAGGATGGTGCAAACTCCTGTAAATGCAGGCCAATTGCCAATTGCCAATTGCCAAAATGCAATCATGTGATTATGGGGCACGGCCCTCAGAACTTTTGGGGAATTCTTGTAACTTCTGTCATAAGTCAAAGACTACCTGTATAGTTGACATGGAGTGATATTTAGTAGGAGTATCCATTGCTTGCCATCAAGGCAAAAAGATATTATGGAATGTGCCTGCAATTTAAACCAAATCCTTATTTTCCTAGGATTGTGTAGCAGGTAGCCCTGCTATGCCAAGCAGCTTTTTTTAAACAGTTGCTGACTGCTATATTTGTGTGCCTACGTGCTTCGAGACCACCTTTTGCCTTCAAATCCAAAATACCGTATGGCACCAAGGCTTAGTATTGAATAACCCATGTGTAAATTTAGCTGAGAGGCTTGGGATTAAGCATTTGACAAGTTTTTTTAAAGTAGATGGCTTATGAGATTTCCTATTTGATTCTAGCCACAGAAGAAGTGTGATAAAAAATTATTCTGGTGATTGCCTTTGGAGTTATTAGTGTGTTTTACAGTCTTTATTTTAAAGCTATTATACTCTTATTTTGATTTGTGATCATAATTATAAAGAGTTAAAATGCATTACACATTGTTTTTAGCATTGTTCACCCAGAAAGACACAGTGCTTAAGGAAAGTTGGAGACAAAAACAGATAGAAGCTATATAGAGCATAGAATTCGTTTGATTGACTAAGGAAAGTTTGAATGTGGAACATTTTAAATTTGTTTTAAGCTTCACTGAAAGAAAAGCCAATATAAAATGAAGTGGATACTCTACTATTTCAGGTTTAGGAATAGAGTTTTATATCCTAAAGATTCTTGAGAACAGCTGAAGGTACAGTATAAC